GGTTCCTGGCGGCGGCGCCGCGTCGTAGGGCGGGTGTCGCGAGGCCCTGCCGGGCTGTGGAGAGCTGAGGAAAAGGGTTTATTTCTCTCTGGCCCGGCGTGAGCGCTAGGCCCGCTGCCCATAAACAGCCTCAAGTCAAAGTGCATTGCCGGGGTGACTGAGGAGAAAGAATCCTTTGCCCAGGGGCAAATCTTAGAAGAGTTTATTTAAGAGCAAGTGAGGCCCTGCGTGAACTGGATATGATGGGATTTGGTGCCTAGGAGGGTGTTGGAGCTTGGAGGGGGCTCCGTGCCCGGCCCCGGCTGGTGCCGTTAGGCTGGCAGCACTGGCAGAGGGCTACGGTTTGTCAGGAAAGTCTGCGGAAGGAAGATGTTTTTGGCAGTGTGCTGCTTGCTGCAAAGCTTCCAGTAAACATCCAGCGCTGCTGCCTGCGTGGAGCATTCCCGGGGCTGCCTCGACTTGCCTGGAATGCAGCACTCCCTCCTGCCGTGACCGGCTCCTTTCCCTGCTGCCGTCAGAGCCAGAGGCTCACTCAGCTGCTGGAAATGTAAGGCTGTAGGGGCGGAAGGTGCCGGAAAGTGGAGGAAAATGTGCCTGTGCAATGGGCACCGTGAGCGCATGAGGAATCTAGGAGCAAGGAGCGTGCGTAAAGGATGCGGAAAGGGCTGCCTGGATGGTTGGGGTCCCCAGCAAGGAACCGTAGAGATGTGTTTCTGCGTATTGGAGCCTTGAAATGAGCAGGGAGGATAGAATCAGAAACGCTTTTAGGATTGAGGTTTCCTGTGTTTCATCGTATGATTAAAAGAATACATTTCTAGTTTGCATGAGATCAATCTGTCTTACAACAAAGATGACTTCCAACCTCTGCCTTTCACCTGGACCTACCTTAATGAAGCACTCTCCAATGTCTGGACATCAGTTACGCACCTTTTTAATAAAAAAATGAGGATATTGGCCTCATAACTAAGCAGTTATTCATGTGATCATAGCACACATTTAAGCCAATTTACATCATGCTGCTGTTCAGTTGTCTTTCAGTACATTCTAGGTCAAGACACACAACTTTCTTTTTTATTTTTAAAGAGTTTTGTACAGGAGGACATTTTTATGAACTCTGCTCATTTCCTAACCCTGGAGCTTCAATAAAGAAGAAACAGATACCAGCAGATTTCCATATTAAACAAAGCAGAAGAGATTCCCTTATTAAAGAAAGAAATTATCCTGAGTTTATCGTGAGTGGTTGTTTTGCCTTTTCGCTACTGTAAAATTAATAATTATGTATTCATTTTTCCTACCTCACTACTCCCCTAATCCTTTAGACTTGTGATAGGGAAAACAATTAAAAACATACAAAAAATGGGTGAGTTCACCTCCCTTTTAAAAATCTTACCTAGTATATTCTGCTTATGAGATACTTAAAGGTACTCAAGGCTTCATATATTCACCATGAATATTTTTGGGTAAGGACTGTAGTTGCAGGACCTTATTTAGCATGGATGATAATGTCTTTTACACTTCATTCTGTCTTCAAGTCTTCTTGAAGTTCATACACAGAAATTAATTTTAACAAGAAGTGCTTCTCAACACCTCGTCTACCACTTC